CACACTCCTTTTCACACCTAATGTCTCATACTATAGCAAATTCTTACTTTCAACATTGTTAACATGATTAGATAACCTGTTTAGTTTACAGCTAGTCGGAGGACCAGGTACTTATCTATATTCGATAATCTTGATGTTTGATTATATTTCCTTGAAAAAACTTGGACCAGATTGACCAGAAAAACGTTAGATGTATTTCAAGTTCGATCCCTGTGATATTACAAATACAATTTCCCTCCCTAATGTCTTACGTTAACTTGGCGCCCAACTACTGTGAAACTATTGGTTCAAATTCAGACAAGTTCTTATAGATTCGCTAACCTTGCACACACTGAAATACCTTAGGTTCCTAATATCTCTCATCTTCTCACTATCGACTCTCCTGTTTTCAGCTTCGATTGTACGCGCTTCGGGTGCTAATGATTTGAGTTCAAAAAATATCCCAAGCCTCCTGAAACCGTTCTCCAAACTATCTTGAAGGTTTTCAGTGTCCCGACCCTATGTCAAATCAATCAACAGACTTTACTAGCTCAGACTTGAGAATTTCATACCGTCAATATATATCTTATCTCCGAGAAATGTACAGAATCCTAGTATGAGCATTTAATTGGTCTTACTTAATCACTGTGGTAAACTAAGTTTACCCACTGTGTATTTGGAAACTCGACCGCAACTTCTCATAGTTTTATTGGTGTGGATATAGTGATAATTTTAAGACCATTTTATGAACGGGTTTCTGTCGACAGTCGCTTATAGATTGCTAGACTGAATGGGACAGTGAAAACTTGTAAAGGTATAACACATTTTTTTCGGTTCACTGACTTGAGTTAAAATGTATATTGTATCAGTTAGATACGCTTTGTTCGAGGTATTATTTAGCCTTTCTTGTCTGGTTCTTTTCAAGCCTGCAAGACTGGTTTTCCTTGTAAGCAAAATGAGCTTGATAATAGTTTTTAGATAATAATTACTTTCTCGATATATAAGTTACCACGGCAGTTCTTTTTTTTTGCAATTTATTTATATAGGCAGGTCACTTGTATTCAGGTTCGTATTTACTTCCTAATGGTGGCTACCGAGAAGATCGACGCAATAAAATTATACCGTACACATACTTAGACTATGGCTCTTATTACTCATTTGCCCCAGTTTACGACAGTGGGGCTTCTCATTGCACTCCAGAGTCAAACCAATTGTTATTGGGAACCACATGGCTACCGGCACGTACTCCATTTGTACTTGGCAGCTGTTCGTCGAATAGTTTTGATTCATATAGTTGTGCAAATGATTTCGAGATCACAGATGAAATAATATCAACTGTCTTGGAAATGGGGGATCAACAGTTAGCTGTCTCTCTTGCGGTTGCAGAAAGTGAACAACGTGCGATAGCCCAATTATCATCTGAATTAGAAGATATCATTCCTGGTCCTGATGTACCTGATGAATTTGTATTTAGTATGTGTTTAGCTAATGCATTTACACGTGACCTTATTAAAAAGGAAGAGAAATTGTCTGCTTTCGATACCTTAAATTTGTGTTCAGAAGTTAATTCTGATGAAAGAAGTATCACATCTACAGATGTCAACAACTCTCCTGCTGCATGTGACTTAGATTCGGCTACTCATCATAACTCCATCGATTCAAGTGTACGTTCGCAGTCTGAAGAACAAAGTTAGTTACATTTTTAATTTTCATAAAGTCGATTATTTCAAGGAGTTGCTTGTGAACTGATATATTGGTGTCATCACCCTTAGCCTCCCTATAACCCACTCCTACGCCAGTAGTCGTTGTGCATTTAGTTGGCTAGTCTCACGTAACATGTATCCCAACCACTCAGATCCATAAATGTTTGTAGTCTAACCAATCGATACACCATTTCTACTTAAAACTATGCTTCTAGTAAGTCTGTAATCAAATATTGCTAACCTACAGATGTATTTTGCTCCCATTGGTGAGTTTTTCATAACCACAAAGTACAAAAGTAGACTACTGAGCATTATATTGACTTACATTTACAGATAAATATCTCGCATGTGACAGGCGGTGAAAAGTGGAACAATCAAGATCTTTTTGTCCGAGGCTTCGTCAGAGATGAGAAAATCAGGTCCGAGGAGACTCCCATAAGTGAAGTGGTCAATTCACTCAGCTACGTAGGTTCCTATGGTCATAACATAAGCTGACACAGATTAATCCTAAAACAACATTTTACATTCAGATGGATTACCCTTCCCAAACATTTTGAAAATGTTGGTAAAATCATTGAAATAGCTTCATTTCTTCGTTATATTCACCAAACATGACTATCATCTGTGTTTTAGAGCACGAGATTAATCTCTAAAAAGTCAAACGAAGAAAGGGCCATCTCTACGATCATATTCTTTAAAGAACTTAACAAAAGCATAGAAAGTAGCAGTTTTGATAAACATCTCTTAATGTGGTCAGTGCAGATAGCAATTTACTGTAATATTCAATCCGATAAATATGAGAGTAAAGAGAAATTCAAATTTCAAATACTCGATGACATGCTTGATTCCTTTCCACATACTTTGTCTTGAGAAGTCGAATAATGGGCACAGGTAAACCTTTCATAATGCTGGTGAGACTATACTACTTGATAATTTTTGTATAGAAGAGGAAGTCTTGTACTTGTGGAGTTTCGTTCTCTGTGCTAGTTGGTTTAGTTTTGGAGCTTCCATTATTCTTTTGAACATCATCAGCACAAACTTCTACCATACAACTCAGAGGACGAAACTCCATCAAAATCATCGACCTGAGCTACAATCTCTTCCACCATCTCGAGGTCTTGTACTTATTTTCTAGATAATAGGAGAGTTGTAACGTGTACGTTTATATATATAACTGCCAAATAAACGCTTTCTACCATGAAAATATTTGTTTGATTTCCATTAGGTATTGCTGATGATACTAATCAATTGAGTACAGAACTAGTTGAATCTGCCCAAGATCTAAATGCACTTTATTGCTCACAATATTTGAGACTTGGTGACACTTCTCAGGCTGCAAATCTAGGCTCAACACTGCGACCAACTCCAAATGAAATGTCCATCGCCCATAGACTTACTGAAAAGCTGATTAAGCTGACGAAACGTGCTCGTCCAGGGGATCTCATCCATCCATATACGGTAAGAAAAGCGATGGGTTTGAATCCAGATGAGTATTTTTTACCGGAACATTTAATTGCAAGTGATAATTTCGTGAATAGCGCGCAAATGTAAATATATATAAACATAAATGTAGACATATTTATCTTGTAATTTAAGTTGTTAGTTTGTTTGATTGTTATGATTTCATCAATTTATTGTGTATAAAGTTAAAACAAAGTTTTTTCTATTTATTCGAGTTCACAAAAATAAGTCTTTATTTCTTTTAAGCAGTCATATAATATGAATGAATGTTGTGCTAAGGTGTTGTTCTCAGTCTGTCTTGTAAGCAATATTTACTCTTTTCTTCAAAACTTTGCTTATTTTTAAAATAGAAATTGTATATCTCATAAATATACTCTGAATCACTGTATATAAATCATTCCTACAACTTCGTTTCTTTTTCAATTTCTAATAAATTACAATTATAATATAAAATTTTCTTGTGCATTTTGTTTTCATTTGAAAATCGAAAAAAATTTCTACAAAATCTGTTCATCTGGTAAAGTGTTATGCTCTGTTTTAATGGTTTACTGTTCAGCTTATTAACAAAATATTATCCGAGTTCTGTTTCATATGATAAATATGTAACAAAAACATTGGCTTAGTTTTGTTGTTGAAAGTAACGATGACCTACGTAAGACATAATTTTCAAAGTCTGGTATTCAGCAGTCAGTGATTTGGGTCCCAAAACTTGATTAATGTGTAATTTTGTATAAGTGATGTTGACATGATGTGGCTTGAAACTTATGATTTTAAGCAGTACATTTTTCTTTGTTGAACTTATACATCTGAACAAACTTTTCTTAGTGTCTTGGTTTACACTAAAGTATTATTTTCCAAACGTTTCGTGCTTTTTGCAGGACGTTAAATTCAGTTCTTTTTTTACAGAAATCACTAGTTGCTGATTTAGGAAATCGACTTGGCATCAAATAGTCAAGAAGTGTAGCACTATCCCATCTATTGTAGCAAGGTAGCATCCACTTGAAATCTTGTCTTTATTTCATAAATGCTGTTCGAAGCTTAGCAATAAGTCGGAGACCTATTATGCGTTGAGTTTCTCTTTAGTACTGAGTTAAATTGAATTGATGTAGAAAGCGTCCGTCAAAAGATATCAAGCAAATATGAGTGCCGTATTTTTCATGATATTTCGATTCCTAAATGGTTTGAAGAAGTGGAGAATAAGATATATTTCGATGATTCGTGGTGAATAAGGTGTCTGAAATACGTCTCATAAAAAGCTGTTTTACTGATTAGTATGAGACTTTGTTATTTTCAAGCAACGACCACCTAGTTCTTAAGCGTTTCTGACATTTAGTGCTTTGCGATTAGGAGCTGTAGACTGACACTGATTTTTCCCAAAGAAAATCGTCACTTGATTTTAGAGTGAACAACATGTTACTATTGGTAGCTGTCACCCTCTAAGATCAATCGTAACAATTCGTAACTAAATTATATCCAGTCCATTGGAATGCTTACTAATCCTGTCTTACAAAGTAATAGGGTGAATTCGTAAACGAAGTTCACTAAGTGCTGACAGTTCGTGGCACTTACTCCACAAGTAGCTGAAGTTCTCGTGAACCGTACTGGGTTTATTGACTGATTTAGTGAAAATTTTGTGGCGACAGTTTCATTTACTTGGGTAACTATTTTAGACACCAGGAACCACTGTCCAAAGTTTTCTTCACAACGCTTATCTCAGATTATTTGAGTAGAGTATTAAAACAGGCTTGTTTTAGGAGCATGAATCTTGGTGGAATCTGATTTCATTAAAAATGCGTTATTTGTATGATCGAAGTGACAAGTAACGGTAATCGTAGAAGCATTTGAAAAAATGTCTGAAACATTTAAGAGAAATTTATTATATTTATTGACCACACAAAAGAGAGAATGGAAGTTGTCAGTGGTAAATATAGATGTATATATTTCTATAATAACTATATATCTTTAAACCATAATTTGTATCTGTGTCGTGTATTTGCTCTTTGACACGAAGAAAGATGATATTGTACCCATCTACGTGTTTTGCCTTCACACTTCGCATGATATGTACAAACATTCCACCTTTTAAAATCAGAATATTAAGAATATTGTTTGAAACGGCTTGGAAGAATAAAAAAGGTTAATGTTGAAAAACAATATCGCCAATGTTTTCTGACTTAATAAAGACTTGAAAATAATTTGAAATAATCATTTATGTATTATTTGCTTTGTTATTATAAATAAGAGTAAAATTAACTATCATTGAAAAATGTGTTAATTGAAACTAAAGTTACAACCTTAGTGAATGATTTTGAGTGTCGACTAGTTATTGTCAATCGAATAAAGATAATCATATTTTTGTTGTTTCTCACTTCATTCAGACTACTTACTTACACCTGTTACCCCTCGTGTAGAAGCATAGGCCACCCACCAGCACTCTCTGTCCAGTCCTGTCCTGGGCAATTCTTTCCAGTTGCTATTCATACTTTTTATGTCTGCTTCCAATTCTCTTTTCGCAGTGTGTTCTTCGACCTTCCTCTTTTCCGTCCCTCTTCAGGATTCCAAGTTAGGGTTTGGCTCGTGATGCAGTTTGGTGATTTCCATAGTGTATGTTCCATCCACTTCAAACTCCTTTTCCTGATTTCCTCAGCTGGGAGCTGGTTTGTTTTTTCCCACAGCAGGCTGTTGCTGATGGTATCCGGCCAACGAATATTGAGTATCTTGCGTAGACAATTGTTTGCAAATACTTGTACGTTTTCGATGAGGGTTGTAGTAGTTCTCCACGTCTCAGCTCCGTACAGTACTACTGTTTTGACTTCATCCAAACAACATTGTGATATTACATGAATCAATATTCGATGATAGCAGGGTTTAAGGATATATTTTGTAATTAACCATGTCGAATAGATTTGATAAATGTTTAGATGGAGTCGTGAATACTTGAGCTAAATTTAATGTTACAATTTTTCTTAGATAAATTTCGTACAATGATAATTGTTGTTCCTTTATTTTATGTTTCCAGGTCATTACTATAATGTTTATTATGAATTTTTGGGAAACTTAATTTGTGTAACTTTTTTCAATATAACCCTTACTAAACTATGAAGAGTTCATTTTGATCTTGTTACAGATACTTCGCTGTTTATTGATTAGAAATATGATTCAATGGATACAAATTGTTTTAACGGTTCAGAATATCTGGAAAGTTTGCTGACGATTTAAACATTTTTATTCTGATATTTTGTAAGGTTTACTAACATATTTGGTATTTTAGTCAGTGAATTCATACAAGTTACAATTCCGATATCTTCACTAGATGGTAAAGATTTTTAGTCTAGGTGAACACTTTCAGTGTTGATTTATTATTAGAGGTGGATGATTCAAATGAATATTTTAATCATTTCTAGTCATCAGGACAGAAGTATAGCAGTTTAACATCAGTTCGAGAAAAGAAACTCATGTAGTACAATTAGTTTTGATGGACTATAGAGAAACTAATTGAGTATCATTTCCTAACGCGAGCGATATTTGAAAGACTGTCGGTACTTTTGTAGATTTCGGATCTCAACAGTTGATTTTCTTACATTGATTAGACCGACGCATAGTTGTTTAATTGTAGTATTTGTTATAAAGTCATCTTTAACCATGTATATCGACTTCAGATTAGTACATAAAAATAACTAAGTAGAATATTTAATCCTATTTCGTCCTTATTACCTACGCAACATCAAACTTTGCTAATGTATTAGGGCTAATTAATATGCTGTTGCTATTAGCATTTGACCCTGCAACATAACACACTCAAACATACCTTGTATTCAAATTGTAACGTACTATGTAAGTTATAGAACTATTCGGAAAACAGAAAGAAAAATTCAGTCGCAAGAGTGTCGGTTATTTAGTTTCACTAGTGTATGACATTTATTTCACCAGACTATTAATTGAATGGTTTCGATCCAAGGAAAAATAGGTGGGACAAATTTTTAATTATTTAGTTTAGATACAAAGAATAGTGTGACACGTCATGGTTGAGTTTTTCTATATATACTGCTGTAGCTCTTTGGGATCCTGGGACGATTAGTTTTATTAGATACCAGATAAGGAGTGAACTGTTATGAACCGTGGGTAATCAAGAGGTGCTTTGTTCTAGTTTTGGATTCTTCCGTATTGGGAACTCTACTCAAGGTAGGAGTCATAACCTTCAGGTCCTACGTGGAACGCATTAATTCTGGACCTCTGAGTCATAATTCAATTATTTCCATCTCCAACATTGATTAATTCGAAATAACCATGACAATCCAATTCCACCTAGAATACCTGTTTGACCTCATAAATCGTTGAACTACTTGATTTTCAAATATCTCGTGTTAGTAATTGTTTGCCGATTACTTAAAAACCAATTATGCTCTATCTAAGTAATAAACAGACTGTCAGCCATGTTTAGTATTTTGTACAAATATCTTTGAGTAATCTTCAAATTCTCTAAATGATGTACTAACTGCGGTTATCATTTTTATTTACAAAGAGTATAGGAGGCTGGGATAGCTTTGAAAGTGGAACCTTTGATCACATGAACATAATAATTACTGGTGTAATTTAATCACAAAGATCATACTTACATTCGACAAAGACCACCTGCTAAGCTATAGTGGTAAACTTTGTGTACTGATGGCCGGTAACATGGTTTTTGACGACATACTCTTCTGCATGTTTTTCTTTGTTCACCTTCTTTTTCTTTTGTCGTCTTTGTTTGACATAGGTATTGACACTTGATCCCGCATGCACATCGAATTTGTTTTTGAGAAAATGTATGTATTTGTTGAGGTTTGCAAACTTAAAAACAATGTATAGGAAAAGAAGTTATACTTTAATGAACAGCTCGCAAAATAGTGATATATTATACGTAGTTATCTTATCCGTTCATTAAATGGCTTAGTGTTGTACAAAAGAATTCAGTTTCCACTAAACATATCAATTCAAGCCTTAACTTACATTTTGGAATTCGCTACATTGACATATTCATAATAGACAGATGGGGAAAACCTAGAATGTTTAAGATGACAATTACACTCTACAGCAGTCAGCCACTTAGTGGACGGAGAAATATCTTGAAACGTCGGACACCATACACTTATTGGACATTAAAATACGTATGAATAATATCATACTATAGTCAATATTCTTCCTAGCTAACGACTTAAATGTAATTTTTGATTCTTATTCGTTAGATTTTGGAGGTTGGTTAGTACAGATAATGGTATATAAGTTAAAGTCATGTATCTTATCACTGTTTTACATAATATCAATATTGAATAATCTCATAACTAAAATGTACTTCAGAATGTACATCTGTTTTGAGAAACTAAATACTCATACTCTAATTCTTTTATCTTCTCTTTCTGAAACAATTTAGTAAGTTAGCTGAAATATACTTTAAGATAAAGTTTCTAATCGTTTTTTGTTGAAAATCTTAGCTTTTCATTAGTTTAAAGAAAAATTATCTTTATATAAGTTTTGCAAGCCGAATACTTCGGATGTGACTCATTAATTACTCAAATAGATTTGATCTCTATTTGATAATCCACAAATTTAGCTTACTTCATATAAGAAAATTTCTTAAACATTTTTCTATAAAATTAATTATTTTCTATTTTGAGAATAAAGATCATTCGAAAGTATGTGATCAAATAGTACTGATAACTGGATTTCATTTGAATGATTCAAAATAAATTTTTCCATTCAATTGTTTGGTTGAAGAAAGTGAAAAGTCTATAAGAATAATATTTGTATGATATTTTTAGGTGTTCAGTAGACATTAGACTATCAGAGCTAAAAGATTTTTTCGAGTAATTATATATTTGAAATTAGTAAGATCAGAAGTCGAGTACTTCGGTTTGGATACTTACTGCTGGGTTCCATACTAGGACGAAACGATCGTTCAATGCTTCCAGGTTTTCAGTGGTGGTCTAGCTAAGATCAGTTTGTGATTTAAACCGTAAAATACTACAATCTCTACAAATCCCCTGTACTGATTAGTTCAGTTTATATTTATTTATTATTTAATAGTTGTCTTATTTTCACTTGGCGATTTGTTTAGGGTTGGGAAAAGAATTAAAAGTTAAGTAATAAATGACGGCAACGATAGCACGGATACATTTTTTTGGGGAGAATACTATTCCCAGACATGAATCACTTGAAAATCTAATCCAATGTTGTAAAGAATAAAAGTCTTATTTGTTCATCGTTAACCAGTTGTTGTATAGCTAACTGCATTACAAGAAATTTCTCTGTAAATAATAAACCATGAAATTTTTTCATATTTTCTATCTGTTGTTACCTTATACGTTTAGGCTATTGAATTAGTTTATGTGTTACCACCTTGTTTGAAATTGTGTTTAAGATGGTTTGGGCGTTTCAATTTACATCAACAGTTTCCGAATCAAAATGTCATAGAATTATGAAGTTGTAAGTTAAAAGCGACTAATTGCATAATTATTTATTACTGATAGTAGTAAACTGTAAAAGTCATTCATTATTTTATTGATAAAACGTTTTAGTTTTCTAACTGGGAATAATTGTCCACTATGAATCCTTAGTTATGATATTACATTACTTCTCCATTAATAAACATTAACGATTTTTTTCGCTCAATATCAAGCGAGCACTCTGTAAAATATCATATACAAATATGATTAAATTTAACACAAACAATAAACGATTCTGACTTAGTAATAGAAGTGTGAGAAATTCTAGGAATGTTGTCAAGCAGATCTCTTTCTATAAATTAGTTTTTATGATAATGTAATGATGTAGAATTTTTTTTAGTTCAGATGTATGCTTTTGGTGTTGATGAGTTCTTACAAACTAGGCTATTAGAATGATTGTGTGTGGTAACGAAGAGGCTCACTTCTACATGAAGTCACCTCTGACATTGTTATCTAGAACGTCAATGAAAGCCCTTCAATTAATCCATTTAATTTAGAGAACTTAACCACAATAAAATTCAGTTAACATTACTATAATTATGAGTGGTCAAAAATGTAACTTTTTTTCGTACCTGGCATGAAACTCAAAGGTGCTTTGACTATTTCTTGTTCTACTTCATCCTTGTAGTCACTATCCAATTGATCGTAGGAAGTTTTTCCGTAGCCGCCAATACATACAATAACATGGAATAAAAGTAACCATATTTTGAGAAAAATTATATAATTAAGAAATTTCATTTTGGATAGTGATTGTCTTTTCTTGGATTATTTTAATTAATTTAACAAACCGACTGGGAAATACACAGAAAGACTAATAATACCCTTTTCGAAATACATTATATATATGTACTATATGGGCACTTTGCATAAATCTCATATTATTTTAAGCATGTGATTTGTAGGTTTACGAACTTGGTTATGATGTATTTGAAGATTTAAAGTTCTCAGGTAAGTCACCCGTATTTCTTGTTAAAAGTTTTTTAAAATGTTGAAAACCAATAAAAAAAGGTGAAGAACATACATGCGGGCTGATTAGTTTGGGTGCAATGTATAGGTAGAACGTTAGATCCACGTCTTTAATTATAAATAAGTAGTCATTTCCGCGTATTGACCGGAATCGATAAAATTATTGTGAGCCTTATGCATACATTCATTTGACCATTGGATTTGTTTTTCATGAATTACTTATACAAAAAAATCCAGTTTACTCCTACTGTTAGTGCTACAAAACAAGAATGGTTTTCACGATATAATGTAGTATTTAAAGAAGGTGGAGGTATAACGGTGTATAGTGTCTGGTACTATGTCAATCCCACATGGGCTACTTTAACTAACCTATTCATTCTTCTTGAGTCATGTTTTGACCTTGTCAATTATTTTCTTATAACCTTGACTTTTTATATTCGAGTGTGTGTCCATCGGTTACTTGGTTCACCACATATCTATAGCTTATTTTTGTTTGGCTATGATTGCTGAGTTACGCTTGATCAAATCTATTTGGCATGTTTGTTTTATCCCGTTTGCTTCTCCTTTTTGTTCCTTTAATTGTCTGTCTAGATCAACGAGTGTATGAAATATACGCATCAAAAATCTATTCCGTTACTCTCTAACGCGGATTAAATCAGTAATTATTTACGAGGGTTAGCGGCATGTATATTTCGTTAGCGTCATCATATGATCAAACCCGAGTCAGATGAACGGGGTACTAAAAACGAATACGCACCTAAATAGGATGTTGAGTACCGAATCTTGATCGTAATTCAATTATTAGAGCTATCATTGTTGAGTAAAGACTGAAAATTGAATTTAAACAGCTAATTCAGTTAAATGATCATAACTTATCTGCCTTTCGTTACATAATATTTCAAAAGTAGCTAATATACTATATTTTATCAAGTATTTTGTGTAGAGATATTAAAATAGTGAACCAATGATAAGGTATCAAACGGATAATTAGTAGTTCTATCATATGGATAGGATTTCAGACAATTAGTTACGTAAGTTGGTGGTCACTTAGGTGATTAGAAATTTTGTAGTGTTTGATTAACTAATTAAAAGCCCTGTTTCAATGCCAAATATTGTTTAGATAACTAATTATGCATTTAGTCAAATAATCAGGTATTTATCAGCAGTTTGTTTTACAATTCAATTGACACAGCTTAAATAAAACTTGATGTAATGAAATGTACAGTGTTAAATGTAAAGTGACAGAATTACCATTAATAACGACGAATCACATCCGAGGGTATCAAAACAATGCGAATCTCTTATAACTCATTATTGTTTTTGAAAATTCTGTATTGAATAAATGTCGAAACACTTCATGGTCACTGAGTATCAAATGTAAGTTCACATGGACTAAACATTTGTGATCAATATGAGTATTATTTTCTGAAGATCTTCCTGTTTTCACAAATATAATTGGTTATATTTCGTAATTATTGTATAGGTAACAAATATAAACTTGTTTAAATTTAGTTTCTTAGCTGATTAATCCGTTCATAACTTTATGATAATCAGTTCTCATTATCCAATAAAAAAATGAAAGCGATTTAATGATGAATTAAAATTTTCAGAAGCTTTTGTTGATGTGCATAAGATCATGAAACATTAGTTCCCTTATGGTTATTGTTTTTCAAGTTCAGGACAAACTACTTATAAGTAAGCTGACTTACAGAGGGTAGTTTACTGCCTTGAATTAAAATCAAGAGCACATTTTTAAAAAGTTTTCTATGGAAAATTTGTAAGTTTTCTTACATTGAAAGTACATATTCCTTACACTACTGAAATAATTCAAGAGTATATTGTTTGTGTTATGTTCTTACGGACTATTAATTATAACGTAATGCGATCGCCAATTAGAACACCGAATTACTGACCAGTCCAATGACGCATAAACCAATATGAGCAGTCCAGAGTCAATTCTAAGTTCTTACTGCTTCACCGAACCAGATTGCCAAGCGAAACTTTGGATTTGTGTTCAGTTCAGTCACAGAGACTTGTTATATTTGTTTTTCTTCTTTCTACGGGAAAAATGTTATTAGTGATTTTAAAGATGAATACTGATTTAATGAAAATGTTTACTTTTTTAAATTAAGATCACAAACCGACGAATGTTAGACCACCATTGGAAACTTGGGAGCACTGGACGGCCGTTTCATCTTTGTAATGGACTCCTCAACAGTACACATCCATGATCCACTACTTCATACTAAAATGTATACATTCATATCAAGATGATCCTTGAGCCAGCATTAAAGAGGAATACAGATTTACCCAAAAATATTACAGGTTTTATTTGCTATTTTCTAACTCGAATTCACGTTACATCTTGACATTTTTGTCATGAATCGAAACATGTTTTAGTAAAATCCACTAGTTTCTATTAAACCCTGAAGTGTTGGAATGAAATTAGTTATTGTCAACCATTACAATGCTTTGAAGAATTCATATTCACTTTCTCAAAGATGTGACATTATGTAAAATACATAGTTAAAACTTTAGACAGTTTTGGAGAGGATCAAGTTATAACTGATTGCAGATAATTTGTTTGGTGTAAAAACTAACGAACAGCCAGTTCAAGGCGTGAATGAGCTGCTTTTTGAATTTCACCCGCAATAATTTACTTCGTGTTACGAAAGAATGTAAAGATGGACGTGTGATGGAAGGTAGGTTCCTTTGATAATAATGTGATGAAAATGATCACTAACTCTAGAGTTTAAATTTTTGGCTTTTCTTATACAATGGATCTTTACGTCCCATGGACAATTTATAGCCATATAAGTTTTTGTCCTATATCTTCATTTCATACAAGTTTGGGTCTAAATAGCGTCTGCAGAGATGTTGCTCGGTAATATACGTAATAGTCGATGGAGTTTTTTCTTAAGACCAAAGATATAATCGATTCGTCAGATACCCGAATAGTGATATGCATTGAAACCTAAATCTCTATGGTATTCAGCCCGAGGGAGTTGATAATTTTGTATGGTTTTTATGTCCTGAGATTAACGTAGTTGTTATTTATCTACTTTTAGGTAGGTTAGTAAAATTTCTGATAGTTCAGTGATCAAAGATAAGAATTTTGAAAGCTGAGAAATACGCTTGTGTTATGCAGTGGGGAGAGATTAAATAATTTTTACGGATAACTCGAGACATACTAATTTACGCAAAATTATTTTCAGTCATTTTCTGTTTTGAAAATGTAATGATTGATGTTCATCAGTACTCTGATAAGTCTGCACATGATCGCGTTGTCATGGTGACGTTGGTAAATGAACTTAGAGGAAAATAAATGGTATCTCACTGGAGTTTCCGAGTTGGTATTGACTTTGATCGATCTCCGTTTTTCCACTATGATTTAAAAGTAAAAGACAAGACTTAATGAGTTATTTAAAATTGGTATATTTATTTATCCTGAAATATACAGACTGGATGAACTACAAATGTTTGTTTCGTTTTTTAGCGATATTTATCATTCACTTACATTCTGAATAAAGTGTTTCATTGATAAATACAATTAATTCCATTTATATAATTACTTAACTTTTTTGAGCAGTAATTCTCATTATTTTAAAGTTTTTTAAGGAATATTCAGATGATTCGCCTTGTGTTGGTTGTTTGAATCTTTCGATTAATGTTTAGGACTGCAACTGATCAGTCTTTTATTGGTAAATGTAGATTTTATGTGGATGGTCTTGATATTGCCTTAAGTCACAAGTATTATAAACAGAGATGGATAGTGGCGTTTTTATCAATAAAGCAGTTTGATTATTCTCGAAGTTTTCTAAATGAGAAAAGGTCAATACATCAATTATCCAATATAATACTGTAATTTTTAGTCCAAAACATTTTCTATGAACCAGAATAATGTTCGTTGAAACAGATTCAATGTTTTTACTAAAATAAATTGTAGTCACTTTCAAACTATCTGAGGCACAGTGTTTGTTTAGAACTGTAAAACGAAATTTTGTTCCGCGGTTTATCCTGATCATATAAATTGACAAGCTTTTGGTTTATACTTTTAGCAAAAATGTTTTGCGAAAAAAAGAATCAAATTATACCATACCAATTTGTATCAGTTGTCGAAGGATACAATGGACACAAATGGACCCTGGTTGATACTTTTGTAAATCTTGATTTTCGATCTTGTTCAATTATTTGTTGTTCAGTAGCTAATCTAATCACATTGTTTTGAAAAAAAAGAACATTTTCTGTATAACTAACGTTCTCATATATTTGATGATATTCAGTCAGTTGACTATTGTTTTTATCTTCATAAATCTGTTCATATAAGATTCAGGGATATGTTGATGGATCAGATTATCAGTTTGATAACCTGATCCATCACTTGTTCTATCATAACGCTCAAATTTATTGTTTTGTTTATTACGTAAATTATTTTACTTATAAAAATTGTGTTTAGATTGGTCTTATAAAGTGTGAACATTATCAAACTATAAATGGATCATATTTGAAATGATGCTATAATAAATATTTGGACAGAAATCATTCTTTTCTTCTGATATAATAGACTTTTCCAGTAATCGAAATAAAATTCACATGGTTTAAACCATGTGACTTAGACGTTTCAAGCACAATCTGAGTAAAATGAACACCCAAAATTGAAGTCATAATGAAATATGATGAGTGAGCACCATATAATGTTATGATAAAGATTATCATACTTTCGATCTAAATTTGTTTAAGTTTAAAGCATTTTGTTATCATGAAGCTGTTTAGGCTGGGCGGGGAAGTTGAATAGTAATGTTTTATTCTAATCTCCTTTAAATACTGATTCATTCATAACTATTTTCACACGATAACTTAGTAGACCACAATCTATCGTTTTTTTTCTCGTTTTACATTTAAAGTTGCTATTGATCAATCGTACTTTGTGTTCGCAAGATTTTATTTTTAGGTAACACACAGAATATTCTGAAAATCTTTGTGAATGACCATTATTTGGTTGTTCATTAGTCATATGAAGTGTCAGCTATTAAATATATCTTATTTAAATGCCAGGAGAACTGGTTTTCTGAATTTAGCATAATTCAGTACTATATATGTCAATATAGAGTTGTTCAGATTGTGGTCACTAATGATTAGCTTCAAGAGTTAATTCTCATAGTTCTAGTGAGAGGCCATGACCCATGGATTTAAACTGTTTCAGGTATGAAGAAGGGACCCATTAAAGACAACAGAAATTGGTTGCGCATTATCGTGGACTGACTGAAGTTATATAGTAACACTATGAGATGCCGGCTCAGAGATCTACAGGTTAGTCGTCCACACGAGAGATCAAAAGTCCTGGGTTGTATTCATGCACGACGAGTCTTGGATGTACACTACTGAGGAGTACTATATTTGAACGAGAAAACTGTCCAGTGGTTTTAGGTTTTCACTAGTTGTCTAACTTTGATCTATTCTTTATTTTAATGATAATATATACAAATGAATTTGAAAACTTGTGGAATAATTATTTAACTGTTATTGCTTAATAAACATTAGAACTAAAAAAATATCGACAATCATTGAAAAATAAAAAAATTCCTTGTCCAAGTTAATAAGTAGAGATTATTATGTATTTATATAAACCAACAAAACTTAATTTTTCCTGTTATTACTGTGTTCACATTAAGATTAAGCATAGAAATTCATATAATCAAGAGTATTTTTCTTGGATGGTTGAATATTTCAGTATTTTTATTTATCATAGTTTTATATCTTTCAATGTATAAATTGCTTGTTTAGTTTAAACTGATTGAATGTAAGTTAACTTGGAACAAAAAAAAGACAACAAAAAGAAACTGGTTTTATGAAAGAAAATCTACATATGAAGCCTTTTTATTCTTATTCATTATTAAGATGAAATGTTGAATATAAATTAAGCATAAAGAAATATTCTCTTATTCTCTCCTTCTTTCTTTCTTTCTTTCTTTCTCTCTATTGAATAATAGTTTTAACAGACGTAAAGACGTATTACGAATATAAATATAATCTAATAAGTTCTACGAAATGTATAAAGTTTTCATCAAAGGATGAAATTATTTATACTAGATTTTCCTTGATGGTCTAGCTTCAATTGACTCATGATCTCAACTATTAAAATTACTATATTATATCCACATAAAAACCATTTCTGAAACTAAAAAAGAATAGTTAATTATTCAAATTTAAATTAGTTTCTAAAGTAGAAATAGAAAAGTGTTTAGAATTATGCTACATTTTTATATTAGAAGCATTTTTGTGAATATTATAGTAATTGAGATCATGAATCAGTTGAAGCTAGACCATAACATTCCATTCTTTGTAGACTGTGATAATTCATTATTCTTCCTCTATTAAATTTTATATCACTCAATATGTCAACTTTTAAATTAGAAGCATTATATCCTACTACTGCCAGTTACCATTCAAATTTTTACGAAATCTCATTACCTCGTTTAATACAAAACTGTAATAAATTCAGAGTTACGTGAATAATAGGCAGTATTATTACAAATGTTTGATTTTAATAGAATGCACCAATTTAAACAATAACATTAATCTTGAAGGTCCGTATATCAAATTACATTTTTGTCTAATTGGGACTGTAAAGTGTTGGGGAGACTCAGAAAAATTCTTGACAAAAGCCTAAAAGGGCTCCGAAAACGCTGAGAAACATTTTATCCAATCAGCATTGAATGCAGGTTTCTCGGAAACACAATTTTATGAACGAAGAATATTCTTTTCAATAATTTCTCATCAGGTTCTACAATTATAAATCCAGATTAATAATCCATAAAATTGGCCAGATTTAGGGCAAAATACATCATTTGGAAATTGTAATATGTGAATCAGGAATTGTTGTTTGTTATATAAATAAAATCGTTAATGTTGGGGCTGACTAATATGAAGTGTTAACTTGAATCAGTTTATAAGCGAAATGAAATTGTGAGATAAATAATGATCAGAATAAATATGGTCAACATGGGGTAAGAGAGAGAGAATATTGTGATTACAAATCGGAAATTACATAATATGTAAAATAATATGAATTAGGTCAAATATAGTAGAATGAGGGGTGGATATTGAATAAATTCCTCAAAAAAGGTTATCAAGTGTAAAGACAATAATAATAATAATAATAAGTTTGGGACATAAAATGAACATTAATCAGATTACGTCACCACATTATAAGGTTGATTATTAGCTAGTTGGCCCCAGAGTTGGCCAGGGTAAAAGGAGTGGCTGAACATACTTCTTTTGTATACAAAGCTCTGGCTTTTTGATCCGAATAGCAATTGCTTCAGCCGTCTGTAGGATTCGCCGTCTGACGGAATTAGGTAGACTGCTGTTAACACGATAGATTATTGCAAAAGATTGCTCTATGTTGGCTGTATGTCCTGTTTGAACTAGATGGTTTAAGATGGAGCTGTTAACAGTTTTGAGAACGCCTTTGCTTAACCACACGGGTAGGTGCTCACGAGCCCGAATGTGCAAATTCCTAGAACATCTGCCAATACAACTTGCTCCACAGGAGCAGTTGAATTGATAGATACAGAAGGAGGTGGCTAGTCTAGGTAATTTATCTTTCAACCTCGGAGTGATTATTGGTCGTGTGGAGAATACTAGTTGTAGTTTAGCTGCATTAAAAGTCCTTTGAATTAATCTACTTAACTTAAGTCTTAACATTTCACTCGGTGCGTCGCCTCTGAATTGTAAGCGTATATATAGAGGCTTTTTATTAACCGCTGGGCATTCTCTACGCTGTCTTTTATTGGCTAAGTTTTTATTTATAAATTTCTCCGGATATCCATTTTCCTTCAGGGTTGGAAATAATGTCTTTGTTTCATCTTCAATCGTATCCATAGTGCATATAGTCTTGATTCTATGATGTAGTGTCTTAATAAGGTTCCTTTTTTGTTGTAGAGGAACGAAACTGAGAACGTTAGTATATTGACCCGTCCAGGTGATTTTCCTGTTTATGTTTCTTTTTAGTGACCCGTCCTTTGTCCTTGTAAGTAGAACATCTAGAAAGGCTATTCTACCCAAATTTTCCTTCGCCCATGTGAATTTTATGGAGGGGTGAACGGTATTGAAACGATCGAATGTTTCTAGGAAGTCTGTCTGGTTGTTGCAAAGGATAAATGTATCATCCATATACCGACAGTAAAACGAAAACTTATCGATCTCTTGTGCTAGTGGGTCGTTTTCTAGTTTAGAAAGGAAAATGTCTGCCAATATGGGACCCAGGGGTGAACCCATCGCGACGCCATCTATTTGTCTGTAGATTTCACCATTGAATTTGAAATGTACATTCATAGTGCCTTAAATCTGGCCAATTTTATGGATTATTAATCTGGATTTATAATTGTAGAGCCTGATGAGAAATTATTGAAAAGAATATTCTTCGTTCATAAAATTGCGTTTTAATATAATGGGAATTTCTCGGAAACGTCTAGAAAAAGAAGAGTTTTGAGTGGATAATTACCTATTCTGCTACCATATTTAGAAGGGTTTCAGAACTTTCTAGAAGCCGAAGGCTATCTGAACTGCTATAAATGTCCTCGATTTCTTGGACGTAAACTAACCTTATATTAAAGCGTTATTTCCAAATTTCGCACCTTTTCTTTCGTGTTCAAGTTATCGTGCAGATTAAGCCTAGGGGTTAGTAGAAGAGCTCAGGAAACCAAATCAAACGTTCAGTTACAAGGTTTATCATGTAGTATGCAAAATTTATGGAATATAAAAATAAGCGACTACATAAGTAAACTAAACAATTAATTCAACCAGAATTTGACGTTTCTAACTTAAAATTCAGACGCCAAACTATATGGGGATGAAAAGTAAAAAAGTGGAGCAAATATCAAGAATTTGAATAAAAAATGTGATTGATGTAGCTATGTTTGACTGATAAACATTCAATATACCGCGGTATATATATATATATATAATCATATAGTTTAATAAGTTTAACAAAACAGCCATAGTTTCATACGGTATAGAATCTTACAGTGTATCTATAATAGATATAATAGAAAAACATTCACGAGAAAAGTGAACTAATCAAAATACAGATTTTACTGATTACAACGTGGTAGATTTAATTTGGCTTCATAATCTCCTCTTAGATTTAAAAACCAGATAATCAGAATGAAATGAAGTTGTAGTAGAAGGTTATATCTTAATCAAATTAAAATTGGTTCCATTGTTCCAGCTGTGACGTAAATAGTACTTATATGTTTATATATGATCCGAATAAAATGAAATTCACCAGTTTATAAAAATGAAAAGAGTCAAGTAAAAAATCTGAAAACTATTCGTTGATTTGCCAATTATTATAAACCAAAAAATGTCATTCATGAAAAAACTGGTTCCTCATTTTATGTCATCAAACTGTTTCACTGACACGATTAAGTAAGGCAAACGGACATAATTTAAA